TTTCCAGCATTTTTATAGGAGATCCAATACTCATTTTCTGCACAATGATACATTGATTTGGCTGATGATACATGATATAACTGGCTTGTAGCCAGTACAAGCTAGTTACTGTCAACATTACAAAAGTAAAAGAAATCAATATAAACAGTATTTTATTCGCCTTGTGTCCAAAATGGACAACATTAATACTTCAAATGTATGCCAAGGCTTAAAGCAGCAACAACGCTACACATGTAAGTAAAAATATTTAAGTATCTAAACGAAGAATTCTAGTCTCTTCCCAAATTTGATTGTCCTGACTAATCACCTGTTAGGCCTAATTAATTTTAGAATGTTTGAAAGTATTGCAATTGTGATGTATTTTAATGTGTGATATGATGAGGCTGTTGACGAACTGTGGTTGTTTTTTAAATTAATGAATTTTTTTTTAACTATCTGTTATCTTAGAAAAACTGATGATGGTGGAAAAATACACCGAAACGTGTTTTAACTGATAAATAGAGACAATAAATGACTGAAACCCAGGAATTAATTTTGATTTGGAATTGTTCTTATATCCCACTTGTAACTTGTATTTGTGTCACACCACTAGCTTCCCTTTTACGAGATTTTTTTTACTGAAAATACTCGCATTTGCTTATCCACCTTTTTATTGTGTAGCGTATCTTTCCCTAGGACGTTTATAAATCTACTGCCATGCATTTTAATGGCATTTAGTGATGCTGCGAGATGCTCTATTTCATACTTTTGTCCAAAATTATATCAAAAACAGTGAAACTTGTATATAGGATGTTATAGATGAAATATATTTAGAATTTGGAGTAGAATTTAAAAATGTAATAATATATAGGGTGTTCGATTTAAATTATGTAAGTTGATACTTAGTTAATCTATGGTTGATACCTACTTCCGTTATAACCGGAAGCGTGGCCATCTTGAAAATATTTTAGATCGCTTGCCCTCAATGACTTCGGCACATTGCTCAATTTTCAAATTTCTCCTAATTCGATCGATTGCGGCGGTTCCCGGTGGGACACCCTGTATGTGCAATATTTATGTCGGCATTTTTAAGGTTATTTATACAATGCCGTCCTGACCAAAATTAGTGAATTTAATGTGATATAAATATAAGCAAACTTAATAACACCCTTTTTATTCGAACTAATAAAAAAATGCCACTTTTCACACAGAAACCATGATAATAAAGAAACACCGCGCCTCAATTGCCAACACGCTGGATGCAATTTATTTGAATATGCATCTGCAATTTGTTTTACAAAAATATTTCACGGCCCTAAATGTAAATTTTGAAACTGCGCGCCATACACCGAGACCAGAGCTGTCAAGATTTTCGCCCACATAAACATAGGTTCGACCACTAGACTCCAGTGCTTTTCTTGGTTAAATTATATGAGATAACGATTTTTCTTAGAAAAGATATATTAACGGTGAAAACCGTTGAGAAAATCAACCAATAGAGTATCACAAAATTACTGGCGATTTTATGGTAATCGGTACTGGTATTCGAATATTCGAATAATTTTATTGTTCGAATAAACCACTAAACGAATATTCCAATAACGGATTTTTTTACATTGAATTTGAAAATTGAAATTTGAAAATTTGAGTACTCGAATACTCTAACTATTCGAGTTTGACTGATTGATTCCTTTGATTGAAAACTCGTAGTACAAAAAGGGGTTTTTTTAGTTCGTAAGAATCCAACTCTACCCAGGGTTCGGAACACTGGGCGTCTTCGCTAAGATTTTTTAATCCTCCAGCCGCCGGACAAAGGAAAAAATGATTCCGAGCCCTAATTATGACTAAACAAACAAGAATTATACAGTGTTTCAACATTAGCGACCTTCCTTTTTCGAAGACGAAAGAAATAATTTAGTTACTAATGGCTAACCGACTAAAACTGTTTTCTACCAAACAAATAAATAATTCTTCTGCAATAACTTTGGCAAAATGACTATATAGGTATATATGCTACATGATACAATGAATACAAGGTAGGATATTACTCGGTCGAAAACTAGATTTTCGTGCGCACATGACGTCGTTGAAGGCATGTAACTTAGACAAAGTTTCACTGAATTCAAAACGCAATAGTTCCAAAATGGAAAGCTATATGAGGATATGGTTTGCAGCATTGCATAGCCCAATGCTTTGAAAATGGCGCTTGGGACTTTTTTTAGGCTTATTGGGAAGAAAAATACCCTAGATAATTCTTTACAAAATCTCTGATTTTCAGCGTTTTAGCGTGCTGTGTTGCCAGAGTGTCATTTGAGAAATCGGGTTGAGCCTGTTCATACAATTAATTGATTGTATCATACAATGAATTCATTGTCGTACAATGAATTGATTGTATCATTGGGTCAATGCGTTTAGGCATATTTGGAAATTTTATAGACAAAACTGAGCATTTTGCGATTGGTAGTTGGAAAGTGTACTCTAGATTGTTTGCTACTTTTAAGTGTAGATTCAGAAATATAAAAAATGCGGTGTGCAGTCATTTCATTTGTATTAAAATGTACATATCATTCGCGGCACCACAAACCGCATATTCCGTCGTAAATAATAGGAAAGTAACATTGCGTCATTGTTTGAACTTCCGTCTCGTGAATCGTAATGTACTATTTCTGCAAGGATACATTTTCAGCTAACGCTATACTTTATTACACAACTGGCAACTGTGCTAGTCTGCAAAATAAATACATTTTCGTTACTTTTAATTTCCAAGTCTAAAATCTGCTGCAAATCATCTTGTAATTATAAGGAGGATTTATAAAAAAATAATTAAATGTGGCAAAGACTAATAATATTTAATCACATTTAGCAGACAGGAGAAAAGCACGCCAGCCAGTGATTTCCACTGACGTCACGCAAATCGACGCAAGATCCTACCTTGTATTCATTGTATCATGTATATGCYATAACTTTGGTCGCACGTCATTAAAATAGTCGGTCGAGCGTTGTTCCCATACCCGCCATAAAYTCTCGAAGCAATATTAAATTATCTTTATGCTGTAGTTACATTCTTGCAACTTAAATTGTAAGCAATAATTAATTAAACACTAAGCAAAGATAAGAACATGTACCGAGGTTACAATTGCAACCTCGAAACAAAGCGAAACCAGTTCATTTGTATCCTGCTTCTAATAAAGACCTTTTTTAAAAAGGCTTTTTGTATTGACCCACACGTAAATCTGTCTCGCTTTTTCTGATTATTTTTTRTCGAATAATGGTTTATTTGAAAAGCACAAATATCGTCAACGCAAAAGCCATGGACAAGTACATGACAAATGCAGCAAGCAAACGTCAAATGACATTAAAAAACACCAACCTCATAATTTTAAAGATGAATATAAATAATAATCAACATCGCTTGTTATCAATTCCATCTCCTTCACTTTACTTAGTCTAAGAACACTGATTGAAACGTAGAGTAGAGGTCTATCGAATTACAGTTTTCTCACTCACACAAACCACTATTACTTGCCCTCTAGTTTCATCATAGTGAACTTCCTGAGTAAGTGTATTCAAGATTTCTTTCCTAGTAGTTGAGTGGTTGAAGTTTGACAGATTAGTGGCAAGTTTCCACATCAAGTGGAGACAAAATAGAATAGAAAATGCCTCCATTTTGTTTATTTTCTAATGTGAGAAGTCTAGTGTCGGCATCGTGTTATTGTGGTATATAAGTAAAATTTCCATTCTATAATTGGCGATAATAGTCTAATACGTAATTAGCAAACGTATATATGTTTCTCGTGCGGTTCCCTCGCGCAGAGGGTGTAAAAAGTAGCAGACATTGGGCGCATCGCGAGTAAGCACTTTGTCAAATTGACTACTTCGGTCTCCGGGACGAAAACCAATCCGTATAATAGCAATAATACTGGTTATCGCGTAGTCTCGGCTGACAAACAGGCGACATTAAATTCGAAAAAGGGTAAAAGTGCATTTGGCAAAGACAAAACTGCACCCCTTGAATCGACTACCCCAATAATGAACCACGTAACCGGGAACTATCGGCGGAACGAGGATAATCCTCAGAACAATCAGAACGACGTTGAAGAGATGGATACTCAAGATGGTGAGTGCATACTTTTTATATGTACAAATAAAAACCTCAAAATTGGCAAATGCTTGACACATGACTTCTAAATTATTCTGACATTTGACAATTAGTACAATTTCTAAAATGTATGGTCATTTCATGGCATCAGACAATGGTCATTATGTAGTTTTTGGCAAAATACTCTATAATTAGATCGCTTCAAAGCCTAATAGCCATCGATAGCCATTCTTAGTGCTTCAATTAAGCAGTGCAGTTCTTTCAATCAAGGTAAGGGCTTTCCTACCATTTTCGATTTCGAACATCACATCACATCACATCAATCATTATCCTGCAAGTTATTTTACACAACAAACTATAATCTTGTTAATATAATAAGTTCATACGTTTTTGTCATTTATTTGTCGTTATTATCTCACCTCTTGTTAAATTCACGTATAGGTACGCACACGTCCTAAGTTCCAATCTCATTACACTTGCAATTTCTAACAATAAATTATTAGAAAGTGAGAGAATGTTCTGTTTCATTATTTTTAGAGATAGTTTAAGTCTGATAAAGATGTATTATTTCATTTCTTATAATAGCATTAAGGCAGCTTTGACGGTTTTAAACGTCTTTAAAACGTAACTGAAATTTAAATGCCCTTAAAATGTATACTGTCAGTGTTTATAGAATTCAATTTTAAAATCTCTCAGGGTTATGCTAATTATTCGACAATCAATATTACGACCAAACTATCTGATTCTTAGGTAGATACCATTTTAAGCATAAATGGAGGCTTACAGGAGATTAATTTAATGTTATTTTGTGATGTACAGAGTGTCCCATCTTCGACACTTTTATAGGGTGTCTGCGTAATTATTTGTCCTATCACAAAGGTAATATAGGTGTCATGTGCTTGCTTAATTCACTAAACATGGTAAAATCAACATTTCTAATGTTTCAAGCGCGCGAACAGATTCGTGGGAAAATAAAATTATACTATTTTCTAAGTTGAAAAAGATACAGGAACATGTTAATGTTATTAGTTTCTTTATAATGATTGTTGAATGATCTGCCGTTTTCAGAATAAGTATATACTGGGTCAAGTAAAAAAGTTATCAGTCCCCAGATCAATATCTATTTTTATCTAAAAATATAGTATTTGCAATTCTTTTCGAAAAATAGAACAAACTATGGTTATTTGGTTTTTTGGGCCTTATGTTTATAAACATATCATAACTTGCGTATTTTAGATTAAAAGGAACATGGTATATTTTATGCCAATGTAACAATGCACAGCCATGAAAACAAAGTCAAGTTTTAAGAAAATCTCCGACAGATCTTTAAGATTACATTGATACGGTACAGGGTGTTTCCTGATAAGTTGACACCCCCCTAGATCGTTTATTTCAAAAATATTGTGAAAGTGACCAACACAGAAGTTGTTTAATTTTACTCAATTTTTTTAAATCTAAATTTAAAATAAACATAAAACACGGAAAGTGATTTCTTATTGAATCACCCTATATGTATATATTTTAGACATATCAATAGGATTTGTTTTTCTTATTTCAATATATTTAAATAACAAATCAAAGTAGCCTTGAAATTCGACAAGGCGCTTCTTCCACCTCATAACGTTCGCCCGGTAGCACTTATTTTAAATTAAAATGTTAATATGTGGATTGGACGAACGGGTCCTATCCATCCAATTGCCTCCAAATAGCGACCCTCCGCGACCAAGCTTCTCTTTATTTTTTCCTCTGGAGTTATTTAAAGAATATTGTGTATGAGACTCTAGTTAGACGCCTTAAAATAGTAGATGCAATAACGATATTAATATTATATACATATATCATAACCAATATATTCAAAACGTTATAGATAAAATTGAAGTAGATTATATAACATATCTAGCGTTAAACGGAGGTCATATAGTGATTTTAATGATTATGTTTTTATTTACATATTTAATTTTATTAATTAATGAATTAATTTAATGCTGTTTCGTTTGTCGCTCCGGTTGTTTTGAATGTGTATTTTTTCATTGTGTTTTATCATTTTATTTTATCAATTGTATTTTATTTCATTTTTTTAAACATTACTGGCGTATGTAAAATTATATACTTTTTATGATCAATAAAGGAGATTGAAAAGATAAGAAGTTGAAACTCTGTACTTATGTGTGTTTTGTCTCTGAAAAAGTTGCTTGGGACGTTCAAAAACTTCGATAGCTCGAATGTGTTTGGAGGTAACTTTGAGACATCATAATAAACCTTTTCCTGGACACTAGATAGTTTTTAAATAAAAAAGTGGGACTCGAGAGTTTTTGCAAATATTAATTCGAACATTATTAATGTTCGAGTGATTTAAAAATTCCAATCATGTGCATGACGAAATCGACTGGTTTTTTAGCAGGCTTTATTACTTTACCCTGCGGAATTTTGAGGAAGCTACACTGGGATCCTCACTTGTTCCCATTTTCTTTCTTTTATTACTAAAACTATATTTAAAATTAGACAAGGTATTCGATTTGCTTTAACACGGCGAACGTTTCTTCAAAATTTTGCTTAATAAAGAATAAAACTCCTTGAAAAATGCTGACATGACATTTGATGGAAATTTGAAATCACCTGAAAACTGTTGACTCTTGAAAATTATTTTTTTCTTAAAAACCCTGTACGCAAAACTCGCGCCTGGCGAAAAATAATTTCGACAAAGTTGTACAACTCAGTTATGTTATTTTAAAAACTGTGTAGTTTGGGTGAGGTTCACACGATTCAATTGATGATTCAGTTGCGATTTAATTGAAGAAATCTTTTAAATTCCCAATTTGTCCTACTTTGAAGGGTTATCTTAAAAGATAATTGTTTCAATTTGCGCTTGTATCGGTGAAGAAATTATCTCCTAATCCAAACGATAATGTTAGTTATTCTGAGCTATGTTCCACTTAAATTATCCATCTAACAGCAATTTACAAATATTTTCTAATTTGTAACATCTATTTACAGGTGTTAAGTGTCTTCAAAATTTAAAACTGCATAAACAGATAAAAATTATGCTCTAAAATATAAGCCGGGGATCGTATTTCTTATTATCCAACTTACCTCCAAGAGAAAAATTATCTGTCAAAAATCTGAAAAAGAAGATAGCCGGATGCAATATTGTTTGAGAATTTATTGCAGGCGCTAAGTATTATCAGAATGGATTAACCGATGTCAGTTTTTAAACGGATATTAGTAATAATGAAAAAAAGGGTCCGCTTTAAATTGATAAGGTGAGGGATTATTTAACAAAATCTGTCTTACTTTGGTTTAGAATTATATTGCAGTCAGATGCAAAGAACTCGGGCAATAGGTTAGTTTTGTTATTGCTGAGTTACAAAGTAACGAGTTTAGTTGTCGAATAACTCTTTCCTTGACCTATCTTGTTGGAGATGTCGCTAGAACTTTTTCCGTTGGAAGATAGTGTAAACTCCAATGTACTTAAATGAAGAACAGCTCTTGATCTTATCTCGTCCTTCTGCTCCTACTACCATATCGGTCTTTTTATGTTTACGGTGAGTCCCCAGTCTTCATAGCTTCATCCTCGTCTTCCGCTACATTCCGCGAATATGGTGGTATATAAGGTATCGCCATTGATACATACACACGCCCATCTTGCAACATTTCCGTTTCCAAGATCTAAAAGTCAATGGGCTTCTTCGAGATATAGTTTAAATAATAAGGGATCTAAAGAACAGCCTTGTCTTAGGCCTTTCGTCACTTGAAATTCCTGGGACAGTCGCTTTCCTATCCTTACTGAACTTTAATTGTGTGAAATCGGTATTACAATTAATTATTAATTTTAATTTTATTAATTAACATGGTATAATTTGATAATTTTTTAATGTGAGAGATATAAATACTAGTTAAGGCTTCTCAAAACAATGCCTTTGACACTCATTTTGCTAATTACTTTCTTAGGGACCAACCAGATTATACACATTACTGCTCACCTTTGTAACATAATGTATGATAGAGACGCAACTATGTTTAGATACTTAGCTTGAAGCTTAAACTAAAAAAATTGTATTTTTATTTAACATAATTAATAAGGCAGTTAATGTGAATTGTTTTGAAAGAACAACATGTAGAGTATATTTTTTAAATAAACTGTGTATGTATTTTGACCGCTTAGCTTTTCACCGGGAAAAAAGTAATTTAACTTCTCAAATAGATTGATTGTTAATTTATCTCAAACTTTGTCATATTTTTCTATAATCACTGACAGAAAATGCACACAGAGTAAAAAATATTAATATGTAGTTGACATAACATAAATCTACTTCTAAAAACGCTTTGTTATGAATTTATTGTAAACAAATTTGTAATTTGACTTATTTTACCACTCCAGGTTTTTGAGAAAATGCATTATTTGAAAATATGTAGTTTCAGTATTAGAAGAGTATTGAATAAAACTCTGATAAAAATATGTTACTTTGGTTAGTTTCATTGTCACTAAAGCAAAATCCGGTTTATAATCCAAAATTATTTTGCAGAAGAAGGTACATTTCTCAGGCATTTGCAGAAATAATTTAACAGGATTATATTTGATTCTTCGATCAGAAACTATGTTAAAAATAAAATTAAATATAATTTTACAAGAAAACGTTGATACGATATGGAAAAGGATTTTGACAAAAATCATCAAGATGTTATTGCAGAAATCATTAATACCAAAAAATTGCAACTGCTGTGCATGTTATTTTGTTCTTGAACTTTGCGCTGATTTAACTAGTTACATGGGATTATATGAAAGTGAACGTTGTTGCATAATTGTTAATTGAGACAGTAGATTATTATTTTACCTAACTGCTTACATTTAATGTTTTTTTAAATCTCAGGACATCCATAAGGGTGCATTTTTAGTTGGATATATCTTAGTTTCTAGTCAAATCTGTTTTGTTATTAATCTAAACAAAATATTCTTAAGATGTTTAAAACCATAACAGCAATTTATTTACGCAGTTCTATTATTTATAACTGCTTGACTTGATAGGGAGTTGATTAAATTTTTTCTATATAGTTAATACTATGGATTACATCACAGACACTGGAGGAGGCGAGATGGATCAGTCTCAAAATGGCGAGGTGATCATAGGACCTCAATTGGAGTCAAGCATGGCTGTTCAAGACGCTGACATGAAGGAAGATGAAGCGCGCAGTGAAGCCACTTTCAGATTCACAGTTCCTAACTTTAGCAAGTTAAAGGTATTAATTAGCTTCAGTTTCACTTTTGTTAATTCGACTTTTTAATTGGATTGATTAAAAGTTTCCGTTTAAATCGAATTTATTCTATATTGCCAGGAATCTACTTTGTCACCTCCAACATTTGTCCGCAATTTGCCATGGAAAATTATGGTGATGCCGCGTAGCAGTCATAGCCAAGATCGCACTTCCCAGCGATCATTAGGGTTCTTTCTTCAGTGCAATGGTGAAAGTGAATCCAGTTCTTGGTCTTGCTATGCAATTGCAGAACTGCGGCTCATATCAGTTAAGCCAGAAGTACCAACCTTTTCAAGAAAAATTCAGCATCTGTTTTATTCGAAGGTATGGGTTTTTGTCAGTATTTATTATAAAGTTTACTCTCGAAACCGCTGAATTGCGATAGTGTACACATTTCCCATTTCGGCTCAGAAAAGTCAGCTATTTACTTATGAACCCACTAGATAAGCCGAAATCAAAGAAATACACGTGATTGCTTTCTGACAAAACTATTTTATTAACGATATGAATGTGCTATTGAATAGTTCCAGACTTCAATTTAGTGTGCCAGGTTGTAGATACCAAATTCAAAATTTTTGTTGAAGTGTACAGATGAAATTGAAATAAAACGGTAAAAATCACAAGCAGGTAGTCTATTAATTAGTAAAATGCAATAAACTTAATATTATTACACAGGAAAATGATTGGGGTTTTTCACACTTTATGACATGGAGCGATGTTCTTGATCCTGAGAAAGGCTACATCAAGGATGATGCAATAACTTTGGAGGTACATGTTGTTGCTGACGCTCCGCACGGGGTTTCCTGGGACAGCAAAAAACATACTGGTAAGTTAAAATGTTTAATAACTTAAACGGCTTTAATATCGTTTAATATCAATTAGTTGATTTTAAACATATTTTTAATAGGTTACGTAGGATTAAAGAATCAAGGAGCAACCTGCTACATGAATTCTTTACTGCAAACACTGTATTTTACCAATCAGCTTCGAAAAGCCGTATATAAAATGCCCACAGAGTCGGATGATTCCACGAAATCTGTAGCTTTAGCTCTACAAAGGGTGTTTCATGAATTACAATTTTGCGACAAGCCTGTCGGTACCAAAAAACTAACAAAAAGTTTTGGATGGGAAACGCTTGATTCCTTTATGCAGCATGATGTTCAGGAGTTCTTGAGGGTTTGTTTCTTCTTTTGCTCTCGAAAACATACTTTCTGAACTTGGTGTTAATACTTTAGGTACTTCTTGATAAGTTAGAGAGCAAAATGAAAGGCACATGTGTTGAAGGAACTGTTCCAAAACTGTTTGAAGGCAAAATGTTATCTTATATTCGATGTAAGAACGTGGACTATTCAAGTACCCGATCAGAAACTTTTTATGATATCCAGCTGAATATCAAAGGAAAGAAAAATAGTGAGTTTCAAGTTTAGCACTCGGAAAGAAATGTGTCGTATTTCAAACAAAAATTATTTTATTTGAAAACATTATTGTCTTATTTTAGTATATGAGTCATTCAAAGACTATGTAGCAAAAGAAACACTCGAAGGCGACAATAAGTATGATGCTGGAGAACATGGGCTTCAAGAAGCTGAAAAGGGAGTTATATTTTCGAATTTTCCTCCCGTACTGCATTTACACTTAATGCGTTTTCAATATGATCCAGTGACTGATTCCTCTGTGAAATTTAACGATAGGTAATTTTGTTTGATATTTTTAAATATGGGTTCGTATTAGCAAAAGATTAAAGAGAACGTTCAATTCTGGACAAGTATTTAATTTTTGTTTTTTTTAATATTGGACTTTAACTATTAGATAATAATCCAATAGTTATAAATTTCCAAACGATTTTTTATTTAAGATGTCTACAGAAGCAGCAACGTTGCCCACCCTGTTTATGATTTTCAGGTGCATTATCAGAGTATTTGATGTATCAATGTTTTTTTTGTAGATTCGAATTCTATGAAAAAATTCATTTAGATGATTTTTTACAAGAACAAGATCCGAATGATCCAGCAAATTATACCTTGCATGCGGTACTCGTTCATAGCGGTGACAATCATGGTGGACATTATGTGGTTTTTATTAATCCACGAGGTACTAAATTGCGCGTAAAAATCAATCGGCTCAATAGTAATGCCAATATTTAAGGTGATGGTATATGGTGCAAATTTGATGATGACGTTGTATCGCGTTGTTCAAAAATGGAAGCAATTGAACACAACTACGGAGGGCATGAGGAAGATATCACTATGATGAATGTGAAACACTGCACTAATGCGTATATGTTAGTTTACATAAGGGACTCTGAATTACCAAATGTACTGCAAGAGGTTAGTTATTTACTTATTTTTTATGTTGGCTTTTATATTTGTTTACGACAATCGGGTTTCCAAAAAATAGTACTATCATTGGCAATTATTTGTCGCAAAATTTAAATAATTTCAGATATCGAAGCAGTTTTTCGAAGCAGCGTTTCATCATTAACAGTTAGATAATAACATCGGTTAGATTAATTTTACGTTTTTTTCTTCGTAATTATATTGTAGTAAAGCGAATGAAGACTTCGTTTTCTTATGTATTTCATGGAATTATTTTTGCATTTACAACAGACATTGCATCTGAAGTATAACAACCAGCATTATGAAATTGTCAATGATTACATTATAATACTAATCACCATCGAATAGTATTACATGGATGTGTACAGCGTGGATATTTTGTCGTTTTTACTGCTAACAACTAAACGACAAGATCTTTTCGTTCTTAGGTGACGGATGTCGATATTCCCAGTGAACTCGCTGATAGACTCGCTGAAGAAAAACGAATGGAGCAAGTAAGACGTAAAGAAAGAACTGAAGCCCATTTATACATGACAATCCAGGTGAGTTTTCAATATTTCACGAGACGATCAGAATTGTTTTATCAACCCAACCATCAGCAATCAATATTCAACATTTTTCCAAATGTGTGACCGGATTGGTGACCTTACAACATTTTGGCACTGTGCAGCATCGTTTTTTACATTATATTTTCTTTGATCATATGACATCGTCGAAAAAGTTGTTCCAACTTCCATAATGAAAATCCAAGGGGAAATGAGGATTTCAAGTTTTTCCCCGAATTAGCGCACTTCTTTAGTGGACGATTAGTAACGTAAAAGTTCCTTTTTTTTATTCATTTTTTAGATAGCGCACAAACTTCTATTTTTGGTTTACTATTTGTTTTATTATTATTTTAGGTACTTTTAGAAGATCAGTTCGATGGCCATCAAGGTAATGATTTGTATGATCCTGAGCATGCTCAATTTCGCGTCTTCAGAATTCGGAAATTGGCCACTGTGGCTGAAATGATGGAAATGTTAGCAGATGCGTTCAAATATCCGCCGGAGCAAATCCGTCCTTGGCCTTTTTCTCAGAGGTGATACACTATAAAAAATAATTATTTGTTACCTAGTTAATTAATACAATTTATTATTATTATTTGTCCAGATCAAACCAGACTATCAGACCAGTTGCTTTGGATGTTGAAGCTGATCTCCACAAACCCGTTGCGGACGTAGCTGAAATAGTCAGCCCTTGGAACATATTTTTAGAGCTTCTTCCTTCTGATTCGGGATTAAATGTTCTCCCCACGTTTGATAAGGTGAGTTTCTGGCGTTGGTATAATTATTTTATCTATATATTTAAATGATAAAGATTTCCAGTTAATATGGTTATTATCTGGCGATATTTCCCTGTATTTATATTTACAATAAGTACATAAATAATAAACAGAGTTTTATGAGAAATTATGAAAATACAAGTAAATAAATTCCGTAAAATACATTATGATTTCAGGATTCCGACGTAATGCTTTTCTTCAAGATGTATGATCCTAAACAGAAAAAAATTCATTATTGCGGACATGCATATGTACCGGCGGTCAGTAAGTTTGGGGATTTGTGTCCCTTACTCAATGAGAGAGCGGGTTTTGCTCCGGATACTGAACTCTTACTCTATGAGGAAATTCGGCCTAATATGATAGAGAAAATATTAAATTTCACCGAACCCATAAATAAGGTCAGTTTCTGCGTGCAGCTAATCAAATTTACATAATTAACAGTTTCCATTATTATAGGTATTGGAGGAATTGATGGACGGGGATATTATTATTTTTGAAAAAGATGATGGCGATGTTAATTCAGATCTACCTACATGTATAGATTATTATAAGGACCTTTTCTACCGTGTAGAAGTTACGTTTGTAGATAAAACAATTCCAAATGATCAAGGTTCGTATACTGATTATGTGTACAGTAATTTATAAAAATTTAAAGTGCATTTTTTTAACTGGGAGAAACATATTTACTGCCACTTATTATCAATTTCTTACATTTCTAAACAATGAGTCTATCGTTGGTACAATCCCTTCTTATCTGAACATTGAATTACATTTGTCACGCTGTTTAAAAAAAGGTACCAGCTGAAAACTCAGTGATCATATATTTGACTGGTTTTAGGTTTCACCATGGAGTTATCACAAAGAATGACATATGATCAATTTGCTAGGGCGGTTGCACAGAGAGTAGGAACAGATCCTTATTTATTACAGTTTTTCAAATGTCAAAGGTAAGTAACTCAAACGTAAAAAGCACATAAAGGTCTTTTTAGTATATCATATTTTATCGCAATTGATTGATCTGCTTTTAAATAAACATTTATTTTTTTCTTTCAGCTATAAAGATAGCCCAGGAAATGCATTGCCTTGTACATTTCAAGGAACATTGAAAGAATTAGTTGTTTTTAGTAAACCTAAAGTTCCGAAAAAGATATTCTATCAGCAGCTAAGCATTCGAGTAAATGAATTAGAGAATAAAAAACAGTTTAAGTGTCTTTACGTCGGCCCTTACATGAAAGAAGAAAAAGAGCTAATTTTATATCCCAACAAGAACGGTACAGTGGCGGATCTCTTAGATGAAGCTAAGAAACAAATTGAATTTAGTGAAGATAGTTCTGGGAAATTAAGGTGAGACTGAATATATTAGGGACATTTTACGTTATCGGTTATTCTGAGCATGCGCATTAGTAAAGAAATAACCGTTTACGTTATTAGAAGATAACGTGTTCCTTTATTTACGTACGAGTAGCAGTAACGTTAATAAGCATCACGTTAAAAAGCACAACGATGGTGTTGATATATTTCACTTATTTCTGATATTATTAATAAAATAAGCGGCTATAATAGAATAAGAAATTTTTGTAAATTTAAATAAGACTCATTGATTAGTTTACGCCATTATTGCGTAATTACGGATTTTATGTGAAAATTGTTTGGGCAAATTTGAACTTTGGCAACACTACTAACATCGCAAGCACAGGTTCTAACTCCTAACCCATAACCTAACTAATTGATTTTCAATTTTTATTTAATATGTTCGGAATATGTTCTGAAGTCTAAAAGTTGATAAGGCGATCTCCGGGCTCAATATTTTTTAAATTAAAAATGGCTCTTCGGTTTGCAACAACAGGTGGAACAAAGATGTGTAAAATTAAGCCTCTTATTAAATCGTGATCCACATCTCTCTGATCATTTCGGTGCAGAAATGCAGGTCGAAAGTTTTCTTCCATCTTAGCCACTTTTTGTCTAATAACAATACAAACTTAAACTAGTTTTGAAACTTCCAAACAAAACGGGATAAGAAAACAATAAAGTGAGGTTTATTTTACTGAGAGTGCAACAAACGCGGTATCAAAAACGAAAAAACACACTTAACGTTATTTGCATGAACATCTTATTTTTTAACACTGCGCATGATCACAATGACGTTTAGCGTTTAAGGCCAACGTATTTTTAAGGGGCTTAAAAACTCTATTAATGTCACAGTACAATAAGTACTTGTGCTTGTTTTACTAGTAAATAGGGACATTTTACAGTTGTTTTTTGAAATGTTTTTATCAGTTTAAAAATACATTTATTTTACATTCTTGCAGGCTAACGGAAATAAACTGTAACAGATTGAACATGGGGCCGAAGGAGGATGTTCCTTTAGAATCCTTAGCTGCGACGAAGATCTATAGAGTGGAAGAAATACCTAGGTAGGTAATAATTACACTATTTCGTTTTGTAATTTATGTAAATCGGATAAATCTTCTAAACTGGATATTTTCGAAATTAAAATAATATTTCTAATTTTGAACTATGCAATCGAAATCCTATGAATTGTTGAACATTCTGTTAAATGTTTGCATATATTTATGGTCGGTTTATACACGAGAATAAGGATAAGGCTTAATGCATAAGAATAACGCTACTTGGGGTGTTTATAAAGCAAAATAGGGAACAATATTATTTTATGTACAGCCAATCAAATTGCAGCATAGGCTTAAGAAACAATAGGGTTGTGCCTGTTTGTGTCGACATTATCGCGGTAACATACCAATAACAGCTTATTTAATATAAATATTGTACATTAAAATGTATTTATCCACTGAAGAAGTAGTATCTCTTTTTGGTTTAATAATTCCGTTTTCTAATTTCACAACAAAATGTAAATACCATGTTTGGCGTTTACGTGGGATATTGGAAGATCTTACATCTTAGATCTTACAAACTGCTCATGCCTCATTATAATAACTCGTAACGCATAAGATAAATGTTAAAAGTTGGCAACTTTCTTAAGCCTTATTCCTTAAATGCCCATTTATAAACTTGACGTTGCCGGTACCGGTGCCGTTTGCGGTGAGGATTGCCGTTTGCGCTACAAAAGGCGATTTATAAACTTCCCGTTACCGTTTGCTGTCAGTCGAATATTTAACCTAAAATCTTTCCTGTTGATAATCAGCCCTGTGCTGTATCATAAATGCTATTTTTAACGGACACACGTTATAGCAACTTAACAGTTCAGTATAACATTTTCGTGTGTTGACCATTTGGGCCACCTACTTCCATACTTGGCTTTGTTTATGATTTGCATTCACTTTCAATTTCGTTCGTTATTGTTCTTGACCTATCATCTCGAACACTTTCAATGGAGCATGTACAGAAGAGGCAAAAAAACAACCCACAAACAATTTGMAAATTTAGTAGAGTTTGTGGAGGAAAATAAAGTTTATTTTCAAGACCATTTTCCAMTTGTTCTAATAAAGCTAACCTTATAAGACCACCAAAAGACATATTTTTCTTTTAAATTAARAACAAATTATAGCTAAAATACAAAACTACGCTCTGATTAAACACAATTGTTTTATTTATTCCCCGAAGTTAACTTCGGCGTTATTCCTTATTCTCGTGTATAAACCCACCATTAATCTGCAACGTGTTTGTTTATTGGTTTTTGCGGGTTGCATATAGTTTCTTTTGCAGAACTTTGACTGTATGTTATTTCTATTATTTTAGAGAAGAACTAGTTCTATCAGACGATGAAATGTTGGTGTCTTGTGCACATTTTCACAAGGATGTATTTTCGACATTTGGTATCCCTTTCTTGATCAAAATTAAGCAAGGAGAACCGTTTAGCGTAGTGAAAGGTAATTTATTTAACTCTATCTAGTTACACGGAACATTTTAAACTTAGTGCGGGGTTACCCAACGTCGTAGTGCTTAATTCTAAATTCGTAAAATTTAACCTTTTTAAGGAGCGGTTAGCCAGTTTCATAATTTTTACGAATGCCATGTGTCGTTGTGATATAACCTAAAATATCGTTTATATTTTGTTTTATTGGACTTTTTGCGTTTCTAATTTAAATTTATTGCAATGTTCTTGAATAATCAACAAATGATTGCACTCGGTCTGAGTGGAGTATTATTTACACTACTCAGACTCTAGTGCAGGTTCGAAGCTTAACAGAGGTAGTAGGTACGAGTTTTGGTGTTCGCTCCATGAATCGGAAAAGAGCCACAGAAGGTCTTTTTGTCACCTTAATAAAGGATATCGTAAATAGTGAGTGCGATGAATAGCAATTTTTTAAATACACAAGAATCAAGAAGTCAGTTTTTTTGGTTTACATGGATTGCTTGCTCCGTATTTGGCAAAAGATATTCGAAAATTGCGTTTGGAACCTGAGCAGCGATTTTTTGTCCCATAAGTCCCAAACTTGCTCTTCCGCCAGGTCCAACAGTGCATGTTTCAACATGTTTCCATCATTTTCTTCATTAATTTCAATTATTAAGCTGAACAACCTCTGACGAACAATCCTTATCTTGAAATCATCCGTTTTTATCTGACAAAGTGGCGTCAAATTCTTTTTTTTGTATTAAGCCGCTTCGGTTTTAGTTACACAATGACAGAAATCATTTGTTTATAGGGATGGCCGCATGCGCGGATCTCCAACATTGCCAACATGAGCCGATTCATTAATCTTTAATTCGCGCCATTAGTGATCTCGTAATGACATTTGATGTGTTGCGACAGGTCAGGTTTTTAATCCAAACACTGAACCTTTTTCATCGGTATTTTTGGATTTTCTGATTTTGTGTGCCTTTAACGTGCCTGAGAACTGTGTAAAGTCGATTTATTGGTGTGGTATATGGTTTGAAACATCTCAAATAGTTTAGGTAGAATCTTTAGCGTAGCTTCTCGGAAATATATGGATTAGACTTTATCATTTTTATGTTATCTTTACAGCATCAAGAATATTTAGTGGTTCCCAACTGTAGAATTACATTTTCGTACAAAAAGTAAGAGATACATAAACAAAAAGTATATATATATATATCGATGTATATTCAAATAGAATCTTATTTTTAAACTTCAGTGGCAGAAAAGCATATCATAAAGTTCAGTTTTATAGCAATTTTTTCGAACCAGTGGACATGTGGAAAAGTTTTTATTTATGGGAATTGCCAGCCACTCCTCATCAAGGAAGAAGGAAGAGCAAGGCTGCATGTGGGGAACACGGTGCTACTCACATATGGTAGCACTTTTATGTCACGCACATTACAGTGTTAGTGCGACGGACATTGAGAGCCAATGAAATACTCCATGTTCTAAGCCCAGAGAGGAAAAAACTGTTAAATTAATAAATTATCATATATTTAGCTTATAATGCTTGCGGTCTGGAGCCCAGCACTTCACCGTTTTAAGACTCTGAAACGTGTTGGTTTTGTAAATATATTTAAATAACACTCTAATATTGTATTGTTGTTAAGTTTAGAAGTAGAATTAAAAATCGGTAGCCCATTTCTGTTTCTATTGCGATGGAGTTGCTGAACTTTAACCTAAAAATGATAAAGTTAAATCGATATATTTCCGAGAAACTACGCTAAAGATACGGCCTAAACTATTTGAGATGGTACAAAGCATACAGGCACACAAAATCGGAAAATCCAAAAATTCCGTTGAAAAATGTTCACTGTTTGGATTGAAACCCCTGACCTATCGCAACAACGCCGGATGTTTCACCATAGATAAGACTGATCCCGTCACACTAATGGTGCAAATTCGTAAAAGTTTCGAACTTTAGAAGGTCATATTTTAAGGATTAGGTTACGTTTGTGATTCAGGACTTAGGCAAACGGTCGCATTTAAGCACGCGGTATTAACTTGGATTTTATAAATTAAGCTAATGATTAAGTTTAAGAATAAAATTACGACGTTGGGTAATCCCGCACTAACTCATAATCATAATTAATTGCATTACTTTTTTATGTAGACCGTATCCAGAAAAAATTGGCTGTGCCTGAAAAGGAATGGGAGAAGTTCAAATTTGCTATAGTGTCACTGGGCCGAGCCCAAACCATTTCGGAAGATGAATATGTAGTTAAGATAAGTGACTTTCGGCCATCTCCTTCACAAGGTTCGTTTAAAAGATTTTAAAAAAGTTTCAAGATTGTTTATGATATGTTTTTCGTGGTTTTATCTTGTATTGCGACAGGTTTACTATGCAAGGTGTTTCGCAGGGTAGGACATCATTTTAATAACAAATTCTACGTCCCGAATTATTCCAAGCTATATAAGGTGTTGCATTAGGAATGGCTATTATTTTAATCACGTATTCTAGGTCCGAAAATAACCCTAGTTTGCTTTAAAAACAATAGCCCAAAATGCATCGATACGGATTTACAGGGTGTGAAACTTGAAACTAAAAAAAGGCAAAAGGACAAATGTCCTAAAAACTCATGGAGATATTTTAACAAAATTAGGAAAAAACGAATCGATAGCTGGGGAGGACGCATGTTTTGCAATATAGTTAATAAGTTTCGGCATTGGCGTGCGTAAACATTTCCTGTTGTTAATTGAATGTTTTGAATCAGCTGATTTGGTCAGACCAAATACTGAATGATTGGTTGTTACGTCAGTACTACGGCTGTTCTACGAACGTTCACCGACAAGAAATGAAATTGGTTCATATCGAGCGGGGCGGAACGCAAACGGTAACGGCCAGCGGTGTTTATAAAGTATGTTAGGTATTAA